GGGACAGGCATAATCCAATGTTGAACGTATACATGCACAATAGTATTGTACTATATCGGCAGTGTCTACTCCGGATCGTTTAAGTTGAATCAAAAATAAAATTTTTGGAAAGCACTCTTCACTAAATATTCGACATGGTTATTCCACGTGAGGCGCGAGTTGAGCATTAATCCCAAAGTTTTACACTTGTTACTTTTCTGATTGGTTGACCGTTAATCAATACCGGTGGACAAATTTCTTCTTTATTTTGTCTGCTGTAGCTGATAACAAGTTCTTTTGTTTTCTCACAATTTAACTGGAAAAGATTATTTTTCGACCATTCGTTAACTTCATTAACAGCCAGCTGGGCACAACTCTGATCTCCTTTCTGTATAGTTTCCGAAACAGTTGAATCGTCAACGTACTTCCATAGATCGAAAGGATAGGCGGTAGAAAGATCGTTTATTATAATTAGGAATAGCCAAGGGCCCAACTTTGTTCCTTGGGGGACCCCTGACCTCACTAGGCCCCAATCTGAGAAACAGTCACATCCTATCTTCACCCTCGGTGATCTGCCGGTGATGAAGCTTATTATCCAATTTAAAATACTGTTCGGGATATTTAATTGTTTTAGTTTGGTTATAAGCAAGGAATGATCGATAAGATCGAAGGCTTTACGAAAGTCAAAAAACATCGCTCGAACAGTGGCACCAGTACCATCGGTGTCATTCAGCCATTTATGGAGCATGCTAATTAGAGCTATAGTTGTGGACGAGCCAGGTATAGTTCCATATTGGTTTGGGTCGAGAGATCTGATTACAGATGGTTTAATGTAATCAGTCACAACAAAATCTGCAGCTATCTTAGATATTGACGCGGTGAGAGAGATGGGTCGGAGCTCTTTTTGAGGGTCGCTAACCTTCTTAACTTTAGGAATAGGAATTACATCTGCGAGTTTCCAGTTGCTTGGGATTTTTTGCTCTTTAAATGAAGCATTCAGAATGTAAGTGACAGGTTCGGCTAAAATCTCAGCATATTGTTTTAATAACCAATTTGGGATGCCATCAGGACCACAAGATTTGTGTTTGTTTAAACGAGTCAGAGACTTATAAACTCGATAAACAGGGAGTTCTAGGATGTCTGGATCGTTTTCCAAAGATACGCGTTCAGTAGTAGGGTCAAGTAAATGGAAAGCTTGGAGGGGTTCCAAGAAAGCAGCATTTAATTTGTTCGGAATGTCCCTACTTGGCATATCTTGTAATTCAGAAATTCCGTGTAGTTTATTTAGAAGGTTACCTGGGTCTGTTTTTTTCGCTCCACTCAGCCTATTGATCTCCTTCCACCACTGTTTGGGGTTACAAAGAATCGAAATTTCAGAAATTTTGTTGAAAATTAAGTCAGCCGCGCAATTGCGTAAACGTGGGCTTTTTTCCGTTTAACTCGCAGCTTGAGTAACTTTTTTCACAACACCATTGTTAGTTTAATCACCCGAGCAATCACTCATGCATGAAATCATTCGTGCATGAAAAAAGTTACTCAAGCTGCGAGTTAAACGGAAAAAAGCCCACGTTTACGCAGTTGCGCGGCTGACTTAATTTTCATCAAAATTTTGAAATTTCGATTCTTTGTAAACAATACCGAAACGTTCACTTGAATTCAAATTGGATTTTAAACTTCTCATTCATGTTTGCACAAGCCATTCAAAATGATGCTTCCACAAACCGCTCTTCCATTTTTCGAGGTTAATTTTTCTGTTTGTTTTTAGTGTTAGAATGACCTGAAGATGGTAAAGTACCCATACTAGCATAAATCTATGAGATATTTTGATAAATTTATAGTTTTCTTAACATTTCAAAATTGTCTACTTTTTTTAATACACCCTGTATAGGAATAACACTGCCGCATATTATCTACAAAGCAGTTAGTTGCGTGATCATTATTCGCATATTATTGTGCACTTGAACACAAAATTAGCGGAATCTAACAACAATACTATAAAGAATAGCCATGCAAAAACGTACACAACTTTGAAACATGTCAAATACCTGTCTGCGCAATTGCGCTAAGCGCTAGCGCAAGTGCCTGACCGCGGCCTAAATTTGACGGAAGGCCTTAAAATCGCAATCAAAATGAAAATGGGTATTTAAGCGACTTGTTATTACACTTTCTGTCCTTCATTTGTACCATTTCTTGAAGCTATGAACTGAAATTTTAATCTGAATTTTGAAGTTCTAGTGTCGATGTGTCAGAAAGAAAATATTTGACAAAAACTGCCCAAGTACGGCTCCCAGAGCAGTAATTGTCAATTCTTGAAAAAATAATGCGTAAAATCTATAGATTCTCAAATTCATTTTATTTGTTTTTTCATTCTTCACATTGGTATACCAATCATTATGCCTGACAGTTCTCCAGACTGCTGTTTAAATCAGGTTGTGGCGGACTGAGTGGGGTGCAGGAAAACCTTCGTTGTGGCTGAATTATTAGGGAGCTTTAGCAGTGACTACGACTACGAGAGTCGTCATCCTCGCGCGTTGTTTGCTTACGCCATCAGCCAAAACTCGTAGTCGCCGAGCTTTCGAGTACGAGTTTTTTGATAAATTTCGCACTCGAAAGTACAATAGTAATTATACTATACCCCTTCCTTACTATTTATCTATGGTAGAGAGGCCTGACTTGCAAATAAATTATGTGAAATTTATGAACAAAACATTGTAATATATTTTCATTCCTGTGCATCGGGAATTTGTCACGTGAAACCACATTCCAGATGGCCTCTGAGTAGGAGGAAATTTGAGAAAACTGACCACCATGTGGAGAGGAGGTTAAAATCGACTTCCGCTACGAATATCAATTCCGAAATATATGACGTGTCCTCCGTTTGGTAGTTGAAGTTTCAAAAGGTTAAGATTGTGACCTCCGAATGTTGCTTCATTCTGCTTTGATATTCACTTATCTATTGGAAATTACATTTAATTTTTCAACTTATGCTTAGGATGATGACGTGCACGTGGATATATATGTCAATACCATGTAATATTGTAAGATGTTTTTGCAATGAGTCGTTGCTGTTGCCCTCAAATATTCACCGTGTAATGTCTGCGCCTTCAACTGATGTGTACTTTTGGATAGATGGGAAAATACTGTTCTAAATAACGTTTGAAACGATCGTATAATTTATATGCGTGTGAAAGTTGCGCCAAGTTTAACTTATAATCCTAACGTCGTTGGACCATTGTTTGTCATATGGCAATAGTACGTTTGATTTGTATGCACATCTACGCTAATTCTTGTTGCAGCAACTGACTTTGGCAAATTGTAATATTAATAGCGTCGGTGAGAGGATCATATATTAGTCTTTAGTATTTATATCATAATTAAATTTTTAATTTGAGGAAGAAGGCAAATAATCCCGAGTATGTGGGACTGTGCAGCACAATGATGCACGCCATTTGTAAGGCCGTATAATTCTGTAAAATATAGACGTATACACAGGAATTGCAATAACACATTTTAATTTATGCCATATGTATGTGGGTCAACCACTTCTCACACAGTGCCCTAAAATAATAATCAATTTACTCTGTAAATCTGTATAAAATTGACTGCTTTATTCTAATTACAGTCTAGCTATACATCTTCGTAATTTAACAAAAAAATGGCAAAAAAACCTGTTATTATTAAAAAGTCAAATTCTACTTTTGAATGATTGAACACAGTTGAATGTGAGGCCCAATAAATGGTCGGATTATGAAGACCTTTCAATAGAATGATATCAGCTGTGTTAGTATTTTAACTAACACTCAAAATAACCAGCCTCCAGGTTATAGAAATAACTATATAAGTTTATCTCAAAAGCTTTAAAGCAACGCGTACTACCTGATTTACCTGCTGTATTCGTACGTTTACTTACGCCGAATCAAGGTATGGCTAGCTATGTTTACATGGCAAAAGCCCCGTTTACAATACAGATTTAAACAATACAGATTTAAGTCCTGTCGGATTAGCCTCAGTTAATGGCAAAAGTAAACTACCCAATGGTCTGGGTCACGAATCGGAGCTTGAATATCAAAACCATAACCGTATAACGAGAGGCTTAACAGCTGCTAATGATTCAGTCATCATTGTTACTGATGTCGAACAAAATGATCCAACTGCAGGTCATCTCCCTAATGGAAATAAAAGCCACCATTGTCTTAGTCCAAATCTTGATCAACTAAATGCAAATCAACTAGATGCAAATGATTCACTAAGACAACAGGTTTATCATTACCGCGCCAAACAACACAAAGCATTCCTCCAAAAACACGATTGTGAAAGCGAATTGCGCAAGATGCCTTCCCCTGCAAGACCTAGGCGTTGTGGCTCTATACCTAGAATTCAAGACTCAAATCACCCCTCTACAACTGATCGACATCTAGTCAGAAAGATCCAACTAAAAGATCCAACTGCCGGTCATCTCCCAAATGCAAATAAAAGCCACCGGTGTCTTAGTCCAAATCTAGATAATCTAAATGGAAATCAACAAAATGCAAATGACTCTCTAACGCAACAGGTTCATCATTACCGTGCTAAACAACACAAAGCATTCCATCAAAAGCAAGACTGCGAAAGCGAATTGTGCAAGAAGCCTTTCCCTGCAAGACCCAGGCACCGCAGCTCTATACCTGGAATTCAAGACGCAAATCACCCCCCTATAACCCATCGACACCTAGTCAGAAATCGTAATCAAAATTTTTTATTAAAAGCGTCCAGGAGAAACCACCGTCCAAGGAGAAACTACCGTCCAAGGCCGCCTCGGAATTCAACAAGGGTCCATTTCTGGCAGCCGCCAACGCTTATAAAGCCCCTGATAAAGTTCAACTCGAGTCTTCAAATAGACCCCATAGAACAAATGAAGTCGTGGAAGGAATACCTCCACTATGTTCATCGAGTAACACGGAACAATATCAGCCAGCAGAGATGAGAATACCTACTAGGATTACTTACAGAAAAACAAACGGCGGGAGCGCATCTGGGTCCCCAATTTTAGATTATTAATCCCATTGAAGACTCCTGTTACGATCCCACGCTTTCCCAAGATTTGGTTTAGTAATGTTAGGTCGATGGTCAACAAGTTAGACGAAGTTTCTGCATCAATTTCTATCGAACTGTGTGACGTTGCCGTAATTACTGAAACATGGTTAAATCCACAAATAACTAACGAGTCTATACGTATTCCTGGTTATGTATCTTGCCGACGTGATAGAATGAATAACCAGCGCGGTGGTGGTCTTTGTTCCTATTTTAACTCAAACCTTAATTTTACCGAATTAGCTGACTTAGGCGATCCTGAAATTGAGAGTCAATGGTTTTTAATCAAAATGGATCGATTACCCCGAGGAATAAACTCCATTATCCTGGGAACAGTTTATCACCCCCCCCAAAGCGATGACCACGCGCTTCGAACGCATATCTTCAAATGTTTAGATTCCTCATTGGCCAACCATCCTAATTCCGCTGTCCTGGTTCTCGGAGATTTTAACCAATTTAAGCCAGGAAATCTGTGCAATTCCTTTAGATTGAAAACTCTGGTCACCAAGCCTACCAGGGGAAGTAATATCCTTGATCAAGCATTTTCAACCTTATCGGCTTACTACGATGCTACCATCCTGCCACCTATTGGCCAATCTGATCATTCTAGCATATTACTTCAACCCACTTCACCACATGCTCCAAGCCTACCCACCACACGACTCCAAAAGCGTGATTATCGTGTTTCCAACAAACGAAATTTGATATCTTGCCTGGACTCGGTCAATTGGACACCGCTCATGAGGCGAAATTCATGTGACGATCAACTGGATTTGTTCCAGTCTGTGGTTCATGGTGCTTTGAATTCATGTATTCCCATGCGTACTGTTAAACTCCATCCCAACGATAAACCATGGATTACTCCCGCTATTAAAGAATCCATTAAGAAACGTCAACAAGCTTGGTTGAATAATGACCTTCCCAAATTTGTGACCTTCCACGGGAAAACGTACGTTAACGATATTTCGTTGAAACGGCAAAACGAACGGATAATAAACGGGTAGTGAACGATCTGTAATAACGTTTCAACGAACCCAAAAAACGTTTTGACGAATTCAGCTAAAAATGTGAACGTTTAAAGTCGAGAATACGAACGGATAAATAAACGTTCAATCTGAAGCCGTTTGAACGATTTATGTTTATGAACGGTTTTAACGAATTAGTCTGAACGCCTGTTGCGCGTATGATTGACGCAAGATATTATTGACTAATTAAAATAGGAAATATTTTCGAACACGTAACATGTGTTGGCGCAAGTATGCGTGTACATATAAATAGCTATACCTTCATTTGAATGTTTAACTAAATTTATTAGCTAAACTACCTAAATCACATTATTTTATACTTTATATACATATATACATTTGCATTTTGCATCAAAATTCGGGTTTATTAATCGTTAGAAAGCCTTCAGTTATTAGTACAAATTATCATCGTTACGTCAAATTAATCAATGCATCATCTGCAACTATACCCATCAAAATATTAAGCGCGTGTTGATTTGCAACAACGTAACAGATTTTGTAAATCTCTCCACGGACAAACTATATGTATGGGTGGTTAAGGACATATAAACACATCATGCATGCATCCGTTTTATTAACACGGCTCTAAACCGAGAGTAAACGAAGATTGCCATAAATGGCCTGGCTTCGATAATAATATCATAGGCAATGTCATTGGTCACCGTCTAAGTTTGGTTGAGTTTCAGCTACTGGATACATATTTTATGTTAAACTAAACACAAGAGATTCCATTGTACACTATTGCTTATACTCTTTGACGCGCAAACGACTAAATTAATTATCGCAAGGATCAAGTTGTTTACAGATGATAACCAGACATTAATAACAGTTATACAGAATATCGCATACGCAAAGCTCGTTTGTATACGAACCAGCGTAGTAACGTGTGCTTGCATGGTCAAAACTTATTTGGTATAAATAGCCTACTACATTAAATATCCCAACCATTTATGCACGTGAAAACCCACATTTCAATTTCAGCAATGCATTGCGCGGTAATAAAATATTTAAAATATAAGCTTGGATATTTACCTAGTGCTTACAATATGTTCCGTGCGGCAATAGCCTCTATAGCTGCGGTCAAGCTTGTCGCGGAATGTCGCCTATACACAGTACTGTCAGTAGCAACTAAGGGCATCATTATACCTTAAGAATATTTAATTGATAATAATCTATTTTATCCACTGCATGCACCATCGCCATATTTTCTTCGCAAAGCTAAAGCTGCTATGTCCCTATTTCTGCCGCCATATTTTTTCATGTAAGTGATATGTTTTGTGACCATACGATCACATATGCATGTGTTATGACTTATGAACCAGTATATCGCTAATTAATACTTGTGATATTAAATTAGCTAACTAAATTCCTGGTGGTCATATTCATCAGGAAATATTTTATTTTCCCCAAATATTCGACCATCTACATAGGTAACTGTGTAAATACCTATGCTACCTGCATGAGCCTAACAATAGTGACCTAAAGAAATAGAACGCGCGTAATTAATGGGATAATTTTCGAAATCTTCATTTCAACCGCGGCAATCCGCAATCCCGAAGGTCCGAATTCAGTTCCGCCCTGCAAAACAACTTAATACTCAACCCCGGCAGCAAGAAAAGATTGCACAGTATTTTCACTAAAGCATATAGCAATAGCAGACGCCCATATAGAAACCGGGTTTTTAAATCACAAAGAGTGCAAATAATTTTTTCTGCAAAGCATATAGCAATGCTGCCGCCCATATAGAAACGACAATGCCAAATGCATGCACAGGGGAGTTTATACTCACCATTTTAAGAAACAAACGATCCTCAACATCTTCGAGACATCTACTTGTGACACAATTTGTGCCTCCTGCTTACAGTAAAATTAACTAATCAAGTTATTTAAAGACATGCATGAAAGCATTAATCCATTTTGTCTGGCGAAATCTTTTTATATCATATAATTATATATATTTCGAGGTAGCATCTACCCCTTTTTTATGAAAAATGTCAGCAAAGTTTGTAAACAATTGTTGTTTCAATGTAAGTAAATGCATCCTATAAATTGTAACCACCACGGCCCAAGCTAACAACTTTTCTAACCTCAGCCAAGCCATTTTCAAGGTCTGGCAACCTTTCATGTCATGTTTATTCGGAATGATTGGATGATCGTGGCCCAACTTGATTCCACCGGCCATGATAAGCAATCTAAAGAGTTATATATTGCAGTGCGCATTTATATCCGAATACATTTTACTCGCGTTAACATATACATAAAATGCAATTGAGAACGTCTTGTTATATACAATTGCATGATCATCTATATGAAATCTTACTTCGAATGCGTGTCATATTTCGATATATATGCATGGTCAATACAGAGCTACAGTTTAGCCAAGCAAATACACTCAAGGGAAAAAAACTTTAGTTTAAATCGAGAGAACCGTTATACGAATTCTGTTGATGATTTCATCAATAAGCCTGATTTCAATGCTTGGAGGAAAATAATTGCAAGCGCGCCTAATAAAGTGGCCAAGTCATGACTTTCCTTATATCATAGCTAATGTTTCATTTAGTGTTCATACCTGGTATTAACCTTTATATATGCTTGCGTTAAAACGCCTTGACTTCTCCATAGATGCTAATATCCAGCAAATATTTGGGACAGTCTTCGCGAAATTATTGGTAAAGATCTTTACCCGCGCGCTCATGCACGCATAAACAGTTCACAGGCGCCATTTCAAATTTGCTCATTTTGCCGCTCTAGCTGGCAGGCTTCAAGGTGCAATGACCATGCATAATTGCAATTTAATATCCGGAATGTAATTTCTAATCAAGGGAGCCCAAATCAAAATTAGTGAAAATTTTCCTGTTGCCCAACAGCTGATATGTTGTCCAAGCAAGATAAATTCCAATGCTCCTTTTCTGATGAATTATATACAGCGAAATATATGTGGCAAAATATCTGAAAGGTCAAACTTAAATGTTTGTAAACGTTAGCTTGGCAACTTGCCCTTTGGGCTTGTGTCAGCCCAGTTGTGCGCAATGAAGGACTGCACGCACTTTAAAACATAGCGCAAAACTCAACCTCACAAAACACAGAATTTTTTTTGTAATAAAAAAAGTCACACAATGAACATCATTGATATAGGTTCATTACTCTCATACAGTCTCTATCATTTATACGATTTGAGCCTTTTCCGCGTTCCACGTTTCCGATTCGAGGAGCAAGTCGAGAGAAATGAAATTACAACCAAAATATACATGGGGAGTGAATTGTGCTGAAATGTGCATATATCAATATATATGAAGTATTTTTTTGTGAATTAAGAGTCTAAATAAATATTTACAATGCATGAGTTATATTTATGCCATATATAAGTTATATTTATGCAGTTGCCACCGTTCAACATGCCAGCAACGATCGAGCCAGATGGCTTAGATCTGGGGAGACAAAGAAACCTTTTTAAGGAAATAAGACAATTTTGTAAGCGGGGCACTGAGGATCTTGTTGCTCCAGCTCTAGTTTTAGACTAGATGCACGTACATATTTAAATTGTTATTATATTCATGCAGTGGCGTAACGAACAGAGCCGAGGATGGGGTCTTGAGGTATACTTGGTACTGCGGAGTCCCTTAATTCGCTGTTTGTCATAAATCACGTTTTGCTTATACTATGATGTTTCGTTATCTATCCTGGCCTCCAATAAATGAGGATCTCTTAGTTCTCGTCGTAACCCTACCGAACGCGCGTTAGGTCACTGTATTTATGTCTTCAAATATTACCTAGGGTATTTCAATTGTTGTATAATTTGTAGCTATGTCAGACTGCATTAAAGACAACGAATTCAAGCTGAAAGGTCCGTCCTAGGATGCGGTCCTTAATTTTGAATAGATTTTAATCAGTAGCTGCTTCGTACGGAGGCCTGATAAGTTTATCAGATGTAAATAAATTAGCTATATATACACATGGTTTAAAAGTACGATATTAATATGTAACACGCAAAATCCCTCAATTCATTTTAAAACTGGTTTTGTCTGTTTACATACATTTAGAGACTCCGACAATTATGCAACTTAATTAGCACCTTGCCAAGGCATATTATGGCTCGTAATGCTAATATATGGCTTGCGAGTTGTTTGGGTGCGCGGTGAAATTTGGCTTATGGAAGCTACAGAAGTATAGTAAAGCACAAATTCTAACCATTTAGTGCATTACCGAAATTCAAAAAACGATAATTTTTGAAAGAAAGCTTAAGACGTGAAATTTGACGCTAATGGAATAATTGCATGCACTGAATCTTAATAGCCTTCTGTCTGCATGACGCTAAGCATAAACCATAACATAAAGCGCACAAAATAGCATTCGATTAGGCTAAATTGATATAACCCCACTATTTCCTTTAGAAGCCTTCTATACTAAGGAACTGAATACGTTTCTGGGAGTATTTCTGTGTAGCACATTCTGCGCTTCTTCTACAAAGTTGTAGCATTGCAAATGTTTAATCTAATATGTTGAACCAAATCCAATGCGATTGAACGAAATTCCGGCAAACGTTGAACGAACGGTAAATCAAACGGTTGAACGCTTTCGGACCAATTTTCAAACGTTTTTTCCTAAGCGTTCGAACGGGCAATTTCGAACGATGAACGATCTCGAAAATCGTTTCAACGAACGCTTCAAGCGTTTGAACGGCAAACGAACGGATAACGAACGATATTTTCGAACGAACGAAATAGCGTTAACGTATGTTTTCCCGTGGAAGGTCACATTTAATGTTTATCGCAATAAAGTGATAAAACTCTGTAAAAGTGCACGTCGAAGATTCTATAACGACAAAATCAATCACATGAACCAGAGCAATCCTAAAAAGTGGTGGGACGGTATCAAGCAGTTGTCAGGAATGTCCAACCCCCCTCCGTTTAATAGTCTAGCCATAAACGGCACCGTCTTGAGAGACTTTGAACTTGCCAGCGTCATTAATGAATCCTTCTGCAGTACTGCTGCTGATATACCGCATTTAAATTTCACTCCAGTACCCGTTTCCAATGTTCCTGATAGATACGTCATTACGCGTGATGCTGTTGAACTTGCATTGGCAGGTGTTAACGATCGTAAGTCTGTAGGACCTGATGAGATCCCCAATTGGATCCTGAAAACATGTGCCGCAAATATTAGCTACCCCGTATGCTCCATGTTTAACTCTTCCATTAGAGAGAGGTCGTGTACCTGATCTGTGGAAATGCGCGGATGTTCTCCCTTTAAGCAAGATCCCTACACCGAAATCTATTGATACGGACCTTAGACCTATATCCCTCACGGCAGTACTGAGCAAGATCCTTGAGTCTTTCGTGTTCAATTGGCTTGCACCCATTGTTATGCCATTCATTGATCCCCTCCAGTTTGGCTGTGTGAAAAAGTCCTCAACGACTCACGCCCTCGTGCACCTAATCCACCATTGGCTTTCGGCCCTGGAAACACCTAATACCATTATTCGATCCTGCTTTATTGATTTTTCCAAAGCGTTTGATCGAATTGACCATAACATTCTAATGCGCAAATTACAACTCCTCAACGTTCCACCCGTGTTATTAAACTGGTGTTCAAGTTTCCTTCAAGGCAGACAACAGCGCGTTAAATTAAAATCTTGTAAATCTGATTGGAAAGAAATCAATGCTGGAGTTCCGCAAGGCACAAAATTGGGCCTTTGTTCTTTCTTATAATGGTCAATGATCTATCCAGTGAACTACCACTGTACAAGTACGTTGATGATTGTGCTATTTCTGAAGTTGTTAGAGTATGTGAACCGGATTTTCCAAAATTACAGCAAGAACTCGACAAGGTGTCTCAGTGGTCGAATGTGAACAACATGAAATTAAACGTAAAAAAAACTAAAGATTTCACCGTGTCCTTCTTGATCAATCAACCCCCGGCACAACCCTTGCTTGTCAATAACCTACCTCTGGAGGCTGTGAACTCTATCAAACTCCTGGGAGTAAATTTAACCTCCGATCTCAAGTGGACCACACACATCAGGCACATATCCTCTAAAGCAAGCAAACGCCTGTATGCCTTAAGGCTATTAAGAAGAAATGGTGTCCAACCTAGTGATCTTAAGGCGGTATATTGTAGTTTCATCAGACCTGTCCTGGAATATGCATGTCCAGTTTGGCATACCTCACTACCTAATTTCCTCACCGTTGAATTGGAACATATTCAGCAACGTGCGTTCAAAATTATTTTTCCCCATTTGTCCTACACCGAAAGCCTTAAAGACCTGAATTTACCTACCTTAGAAGCGAGAAGGGAACGGTTATGCAGATCCTTTTATAAAAATAATTATAATGACCCTTCGGGTAAAATTTCTAGTCTATTACCCAAACTTTTAACCCATGAGTACGATCTCAGACATCCTCGATCGATCTCTCTTTTTAAATGTCGAACGAAACGCTATAATGATAGCTTTTTGCCGTATTGCATACGTAAATGGAACTCATTTTAATATTTTAATATTTTAGAACCTAATGTTAGCATATCTTTTTGTAGTTATTGGATTAACATGTTAGTAATTGTATTTCTGAGTATTTTATCACTGTAAATATGTAAATAGTCTTATTTCTGATACTTGTAAACTTGTGTTTTTCAGTTCGTTTTTGAACTGCCATTCAAGTATTTTAATAATAATCACAATCACAATCACAATTTACACTACACTCAATTTATCGGCACGGTACGGCTAAATTTGGTACCCGTACCCAATTTCATTAGTGTTCAGGATACCAAAACAAAGGCCGAGGAAATATGAAATGGTACGGGTACCCATTTTAGCCGTGCCGTGCCAATAAATACAGTGCAGTGTAAACGGGGCTAAAATCTTCACGCAATCCTTCAGTCTTGCCAAACAAAGCAGAAACATTTTGTAGGATGAACGGTTAAATGATATAACTGCAGAACTGCTGCTTGAAATGACGATTATACGGCAATTATAGTTCACTACGTACCTGGTAAGTCTCATTCACTGACTTGTAAACGTTGTAAGCTGTATAGCACAAAGTATCTCACGCTCAAACTGGGAGAGCACTTAAACAAATACAGCCATTCGCAGTTGAGAACTTGAGCTGGCATTTCAAACGCGTTGTTCCATTGTTTGAAACGGTACGTTGATTGGTTAGCAACACCTCGTTGCTAACGGCAAAATTGATACGTTTCCTAGGCTATAAATAGAAATGTCATATGTAGGAAATGTATTACAGAATTTGTAAACGCATGCATGGTAGAAAACGCGGGTAGTGGACTACGGATTACGGACTATGGATTACGGATTACGGACTACGGATTGCGGACTACAGATTACGGACTATGGATTACGGCTTACGGACTACGGATTACGGACTACGGCTTATGGACTACGAATTACGGACAATGGTCACAATCTTTAAAAAAAATGCGAAGATGCTGCCTTCTCAATAAAACATTTTGGCATTTTTTACATATTTTTTAAGGCTTTCGGTAAATAAAAGATCTTAGCATTTGATAACATGGCGCTTTTTTGTAAAAATTAATGACGTTAGCAATATAAGTAGGATCCTCGTTACGTGTAGTGATTATGTCAAGCAGCTAGGAATTTTATGTGTTTTTTGCGCTTTTATAGGCTTGCTTTTCTCGGCAGTGACTGTATCTTCGCTCGACGTCGGTAAGCGTGCGACTGATAAAGTGGATTGGCTGCCACCCTTCGTGGTACGTTGAAACAGATCACCTGAGAGACCTTCATTGTAGCTTGCTTCTGTGCGAACCATGGTAGGTAGTTGGGGTCGAAGAATGCTATGGTATTGTCGTGGAGATACTGCATTTTAGCTTTCTCGAAGGCAGCTTTTGTGCAGGACCCCAGTGGAATTTATCTCGTTGTCGTTAATTCCCTTAAGGGTTGCGTCAGAGAGGCGTATCTGGGGATGAATTACGCCAAGTATCCGGTCATACGAGGAAGCTACGTACTTCCGATTTCGATTTCGTTGGATTACACTCTTGGATGAATCTCACTTTGTCCGGTGTCGGATTGAGCCCTTGTTGGCTGAATCTGTAGCGATAAAATTCCAATTGACCAACTCGCACTTCGTCCGACGAATGTGATGCCGTAATCGGCTGCTCTCTGTGGACAGTTTCGAGCGTCGCATTGTGGCTCAGTTCAGTCTCGTGCGCCGATTAGTAGGCATTCGAGGAATATCGCCAAAAATTCTCTGCATGGTTTCATCAAATAAATCTTGCGATGCCTTCGCTCTAAATACTAGTCGCTTGGGTCGGAAATTTCCCCAAGGGTGGCAAAAGTGGCAATGGCGCGAGATGCTGGATCAAGGGTGAGCTGATGGTTACCTTGTCGGAGGTCCATCTTTGTCCATAGACTGCAGTCATGGTGGTGGGTGAAGTATTCGACGGTGGGGGAATTATTAGGATTACGGAGATCAACGCTCGCACGGATCATATGTGCATGGCCTAACTCTTCTTTGGGGTTTTTGCAAATCGCGTTTGGTCGTATGACCAGAGGTGAGCACCATGTGACTGGTTCATCTTCAGGGACCTTCTCGAAGATGTCTTTCTTCTACTCTTGTTGTTACCATTTCTTAGCGGTTTTTGTAAGTGGTGGTACAGGCGGGGTTTCTACGTGACCGGATCGCGTCTGGTTTCCTGTGAAACTGTCCGTAAATTTCCTGCTTATTCTTCTTGTCTGTGATCCTGCCGATTCCGTGAAATACGTGATCGTATTTAGCTATAGGGTATTAAGGTTTTCCATCTCCTGATGCATATGTTTGGGATCCCTGGTACTGTGATTGTGGTGTTGACTGGCTCGTCGTTCTTATCCTCATGGCGTTTGGAGTTTTAAGTCCTCCGTCAGGCTGGATTTTGAGCATCCGATCCTAATTCGAGGAGGGTTTTTCCAAAGCAGAGGGGGTGAATTCATCCGACCTTTTACAACAAGAAAGGTCGCTGACTTGCCACAGATTTGATTTCGAATGATTGTTTCAAATTTTCTTTGACACTGAGAGGGTGTTGTAATGTATTGAGTTTGACTTGGCATTGTTGCAGTTTTAGCTATGTTTGGTTTGATGTGGGAGTGTTTGGGATTTATGTCATCCATTAGGTTCACCTCAGTCCCATTGTCGGGTTCCATTCTAATATCCACACCGTGTAATCTGCACTGTTACTGTTTGCTTGCCTTTTGATGATCCTGTAATTTTTCTTGCTGAAAGTTGGATTTTATCGTTTGCACAAAGTATTCATCATCAGAGCTAGCTGATGAGTCCTCTTCTGTGGTCCGTTTGATGCGCCCTGGTTGCTTGTTCTGACTGGTAGTTTGCTTCTTGGACTCAGCTTGTGGTTTTCTGGCTGACCTACATACAGATGCGAAGTGGTTTTCTTTTGTTGCATTTCCGGCAGCGCTTCTCAAAGGCTGGACAGGTGTTGCTTTTGTGGTGGTTAACACACAGTAATGGCATTGGGGTGTCCCTGGATGTTTCTGTGTTCTCATTCCTGCCCTTGATTCTGGCGAGTTCGATGCATTTGGGGTTGATTTCGTACTCCAGGAGATTCTATCTCTTGACATCTTTATGTCCGATTGTGTTTCCTGTGGTTCTCGATTAATTCCCAATGTCCCTTCCAAGGATGCTATATCAGTAACCTGTCGTCTAATGTTTCCATTTGGGCAGCTTCGGTTAAGAATTGAGTCAAGTTCCAGGCCTTGCTGAGAGCTTTTTGGATCAGTGGTTTGTTGTCTGTTGTTTGGATGATGTGTTCCAAAATTCGTCATCATGAGTATCACCAAACTCACAATCGGATGCCCTTTCTCGCAATCGTGCTGCATAGCAGCTTGTAGATTCCCCTGGTGTTCGTCGTAGATTGAGAAACTGGTACCGTATATATATAATATTATATATTATATATATATATATATATATATTATAATATATATATATATATATATATATATTATATATTAAATATATATATATTATATATATATATATTATATATATATTATATATATATATATATATATATATATGTACATATATATATAAATATTGCATATTTCGAGTTTTCTTCGGTGAAATTTTTTTTAAATTTTGTACGTATCAAGACATTAATTTCGTTAACCTAAGTACAGATTTTCACACAATTCTATAGAGGGATTATTTTAACATCAATTTTGAGCCTTTTTGTACAGTCACATAAAAATATATC